TATATATATATTAAAATTATATGAAGATAATTCATTATCTTTTACGCTAGGTACAGAGAAAATAAACGTAAAATCAAAGCATTTGGAATAAAATTATAGAAGAGTAATATTATTTAATCATTTTCTTGAACATAGAGTTACTTTACTGTTTATTTTCTCCATTGTTTATTATGTTTAATGTTTTAAATATTATAGGAAGATTCTTAGAAAAAAATAATTTAAGCCAGGTAAATGAAGATTATTCTTTACCATAGTGGCCTATATGGCAGTTGGATATACCAATGTACACTTGATCAAGTCAGTGTTGGTCAAACACGTACTTGGCATCGAGTAGCTTTCCATGTACATACGCGTAGGTATAAGTAGACAGTATATCGTGAAGTGCCTGAACACCTTGGGTGTAACATCTGATAGCTTAAGTAAGTGCATATGTGCAAATGCGCGGAGGATCTATAAGGTATTATTCGTAAAAGGAGTAACAGTAGATACATCTATCGTTTCAAATTGTGGATGATAAATTTGATAAATCTTTGGTCAAATGTATTTATGTTATATTGATATCTTAAATCATTTGATTACTACTTATATCTATTAGTAAATTTATCAAATGAAATGTTTTATCGACATCCGTTATTGAAACACATGTAATCTTATTGTATCTTTTCATTTTTAGTCTAACGCTAAAAGATTATTGTAATTTATACGCCTATCCGAGAGTTAGAATTCATGTGTTCGCTAGAACGTTGCTAGAAGATCCAGACGTTAAATCGATTCGTATTAAGCTGACGTTGTTACATGCTATCATATAACTATCGTTACTGAGTGGGTTCTCTAGTGTTAAGCACGATACAGATTCATAATTCATATGTGATATTAGCTGGATTTGATCCTTGCTCTACCTCGTATGTACAACGTAGATACGTAATCCTGTCACGGCACTGACCGGTCAATCCGACGAGAATGAGCTTTTGCTGGCTGGTAATTAACGCGTGTATCATTGATCAGTTTCAAATCAACAAACGGAGAATCTCTCATCAAATTTTCGACTTGTATCCTTCATTGACTGGATTTAACGTTACTCTACGTCATCGTAATTCGAATCTCTGCGAAATAGGTGTTACTCAAACGTGACGTGCCATAAATGAATTCTATTATTAATTCTACATGACGATAATCGATAATATAGTAATATTCAAGATATTCATGTCTATGCTATTGTATAATAATATCATTTCATTTCTTGTTCGGTTAAAGAGATTGTTAACGGAGATATGTAATAGTTCATGGTGACGAAATTTAATCTTCTTTTTTTATCTTTATTTTTATTCTTATCAATACTTTTTATATATTTCTTTATTTATACTTATATTAAATTTTATTTTATTTTATTTTTGGATGTCGTATGTAATATAGTATAGCGTAATATTCAAACTCATACGCCAAAATTTAAATATCTCCGAGTACTTTTTGGATATACAAAATGTCATTCTTATCTGAGATTACTCGAGATGAAAATCGTGCTGAAAATGGCAGACGATAAAATGATTCTGACCATTTCCTTATAAAAAAAGTCAAACGTTCTCGCTCACTTCTTTCAGTTTTTGAATCGGACAAATGTAAATATAACTGGAGTATATTCCAATGGAAAGAGTACAAGTAACGTTACTCAATGAGATATTTATATGTAAAAATATATGTAGGCATATATCGCGAAGTCATGTTGCGATGACATGGGTAAAATATATTTTTGTCCCGAACTGGACCTTCATGTCAGTTACAGACGTACTACCTTGGTATTGCAGTGCTTTTATCCTGCCCTTTTTACTATGTAACCTTTTCTTCTTATCATGCGCTGTACAGCTTTTGCTTTGTAAAAATCTTAGCTTAGTTCGTCTTTATTTCTTTATTTCGTCAACGAGATGTAAGTGAAGAAAGCATGAACTTATGGAAATAGAAAAAGCAAAGGACATTTATTTAACTATTAATAGTGTCTTACTTCATAAATGCATCAAAGGAAACTTAGTGCATAAATAAATAAATAAAATCGGAAAATTTATCGAGCATAAACAAGATTCGTGATTTATCAAATGTCACGGATTTCAGAAATTTATCGAATTCTGAAAAAGGCATATGCACGATGACGTAAACGAGAGAGTAAAACGGAAATAGAAGAACTTTGACGACTGCGTATCTGCATATTCATATATATATACATGTATATCGGGATCATATAAAGTATAGGAGAAAACTACGCAAGGTCGTTTGATTAGCCATCTCGGCAGAAGCAGCATTCCAATTCAAAAGGATATCGAAATGCGTTTCCATGTTAGAGAGGACGAAACCGCGGGAAACTACGTTGCGAACGTCGTTTTCCTGGGCTTACGATCATGCATGTATGTATATATGCGCATACATATTCGAGCAGAGCCGAGTTCAAAATATATATCCGGTGTAGCAAAACGCGTAAGAGGTAGAGATACACGTGCGCATAACCACGTACTGGCGTTATGTTTATGTGTAGGAGAGAAATGCACCAAGGGAAAGAGAAATTTGGTCCTTTGTCTGTCTCCTCTTTCTCTCTTTCTCTTTCGTTCTCTCTGTCTACGTTGTTGTTGCGAGCTTCTATACCGCATCCTGTCTCTTGCGGTACCACCTACGTCATATTGGAGAGTTACGAGATCGCAAGGGTTCGCGTAAGGGTGACATTTCGTGCATATCAGCGGATTGCCGGCTTGGCGCACGTGCGTATTAACGCGGTGCATATGTAGTGTGCAAAGTTAGATAGAAGAGTGGTGAAAAGCTGTGTTTAACTTGTCTGCCTTTTATTACTACTATGAAAGCGTCAAGTTTAATAGCAACAAATAACACCAAGTAAAACGGTGAGAAAGAGAGAGACAAAGAGAATTTCCTATATACTAAATAAAGGTATAGAGAAGAGGATTAAACCTGAATGCAGGACTGCCTAGCAGCATTCGTTTCGATATAATAAAATAGCGACAAACTGATTTCAATCAAGCCTGGGTACAGCTTTAAACCTTTAAAATCCTCTCGAGCGAATCTAACCGATTGCAATCCCTTGTGTACCTTCCCATATAAAAGTGTTGTAAGAAACAGAAATACGCGTATATCTATATGTGTACGAATCGAATAATTTCCTTTACTTTCTAGTGTATCTATATGCGTTTGTGATCGAAGGAAGAGACTTCCTTCAAATTTCATCTAGTCCATTTCAAATCGACCGGATTTACCAAGTTTCCTTCTTAGATCGAATGGTTTCTCTCGGTTAGCGCATTAGTTTCAAATCTAGCTAGTATGTTTGCTTTACAAGTGTTTCACGTTATACTTGGAACATCTCTTAACGTTGAGAGAAATTATAAGAGGAGAGAAGAAATATTGGATGTTAGTAGAATAAATCTAAACTTATTTACAATAAAATTTAAATGAATTTGTCTGTGTGGAGAGGATATATCAAAATATGTGTCATATCCTTGAGTTTATTGAATTTATTATGACTGTAACACAAGTCTAATACAAAAATATCTTCTTCTTCTTCTTCTTCTTCCTGCTCTATGCTAGGCGGGGTCGTCTGTTCATTCTTCGTCATCTTGCCTCCTATACATTCAGGTTGTCGTTCCAACGTTTTCTAGGTCTGCCCTGTCCTCTATAGCCTAATGAAGATTTGTCGCGTGCTACTCTGACTATTCTCTCTACACTCACTCTGCTTATGTGTGCATTCCACTCTTTTTTTCGGTCCAGCACCCATTCGTTGATATTCTCAGTTTAGCATGTTCTTCTACTTTTTCGCTTCTTTCTTTGTCTAGGAGTGTTTTTCTTGCGATCTTTCTGAGAATCTTCATTTCTGTCGTCTCTAATAGGCGTTTAGTTTTTGCGCTATCAGATCGTGTTTCTGCGCAATATGTCATAATGGGTCTGATCGTTATTTTGTATATTCTTGCTTTTGTTTCTATTTTGATGTTTTTGTTGCGCCATATTGTATCGCTTAGACACCCTGCTACTCTTGCTGCCTTTGTTGTTTGTTCTCTCACCTCCTCCTCGATATCGCCATATCCTGAGATTTCTATGCCGAGGTATCTAAATCTCATTACTTGTTGGATGACTTTTCCCTCGATCTCGAGTTTGCATCTAATGGGGATTTTTACCGTTGTCATGCATTTTGTTTTTTCTGCAGATATTTTCATGTTCACTGTGTTTGCTGTTCGAGTGAACTGGTGCAGAAGTCTCTGCAGGTCGTCTTCGTTCTCGGCGATTAATACTGCGTCGTCTGCGTAGCAGAGGATAGTCACTTCTTTGTTTCCCATTTTGTAACCTCGTAATTCTCGCACCTTGCCTATTATTTTATCCATAATGATATTAAAGAAGAGAGGACTCAGGGAATCTCCCTGTCGGATACCGTTACCTACTGGTATTGGTTCCGTGAGTTCTCCCTCTATCTTTGCCTGGATTTTATTGGCTGCGTATATGTTTTCTATGGTTTTGATTAGACTGTATGGTATTTGTCTATTGTAGAGAAGGTGGATAATATCTCGTAATTTTACCCAATCAAATGCTTTTTCCAGGTCTACAAAGCACATATATGCTGGTCAAATATATATTAGGGTGGGTCAAAAAAATGACTTATTTTTTTTTTCAAGTGCCACGCAAAAATGGGTTCCTAGACATCTTAAAAGAATTCTCACCCAATATGAGCTCTTAATTTTAATAGGAAGATCCTCCGCATTGCAGTTTTTTATTTTTCTTTTCACTCCAATAGATTAAAATTCATACCTCATTATTTATTGATTGTACAGAAAAATGTTCTAAACGAATTTTATAGGAAATTTAATGCTCTACAAAAAAGGTATCTTAAATTTTTTCCGTAAACCTCACCATTTGAATGATATTGAAGATTTAAATTTGATGATTTTTAGACAA